TCCCCTCTCCCCTCTCCCCCCTCCCCTTTCCCCTTTCCCCTTTCCCCTCTCCCCTCTCCCCTCTCCCCACTCCCGCTCCCCCCACCCCTCACCAGGGAGTTACACAAATGTACCTTTGCCATAGTGGTTTCTTTTGCCTCAGGTGTCACCTCCTCCAAGAAGCTTTCTCTGACCTTCCCTCTATTGTGGTCCCCCAGCCTCTGTGCTTATTATGATCACAGCCATTAGGACAAATATTCTGAAACTATTTCTTTATGTGTTTGCTCCCCATCCCTCAGAAAACTACCATGAACTTTTTAAGATTAGATCTTATTCCCTCTGCGTCCCTAGAATGTGTCCCAGGCCTTGGCACCTAGGGGTTGCTCAGTTAATATTGATCGGAATGCCCCATGTGAATGCCAATGGAAGTACACAGACAGAGGCTGGGCAAGCATTTACTGGGATATCATGGGGGTCTGAGCCCAGGATGGGCTGGACTGGGGTCCTAGAAGGCCAGTCCAGCTCCTGAGGCCCACCCCGCCTTGTTTGCCCCAGGCACCAGCAAGGTGGATTCCAGCCATGAAGGCCCAGGCCTTGTTCTGGGCAGCTGCTTTGAAATCTGGAGACAGGAGTGATTAGAGGAAGGGTGAAATGGGGCGGGGCTGGACCAAGCTGGGATGGGGCACGGCAGCTCTGTGCAGTGACCCAGACGTTTGGAAGAAGTGACAAGTTTGGAGTCTGTCCAAGTCATTGTCGAGGACATTGTCTTAATGGTTTTGACAAGGTCTCTGGGACAAGTCTGTTGTTGCCAAGGGAGAACTTGGTGGTGGATAAAGAGGCAGCAGTGTGGTTTACCCGAGAGCCTCAGGGCTGGGAGTAAATTGCTGCTTGAGGAGGTGTTTGCCTGTGGCCGAGAGCACCGGGGCCTGCTTGTGGGAGAGTGCCGTCCAGTCCTACCAGTCCTACCGGTTGCGCAGGCATGGATGCCCTAGGGGCGGGTCTGGGCCTCTTTTCCCTTGCGTTTCACCTTGTCCTCCTTCTGAAGTTTGCCCTTAAGCTTTCAAGGATCAATAGGTTACAAGTTGTCTGTTGGGGTGAGAGCAGCCAAGTGGGGCTCCTGGGCCAGTGAGGGTCACAGTCCTCTTGGTGGGAAGGACGGAGGGAGGGTTCAGAGGCTTCCCAGGCCCCTGTGAAGAAACAGAGGCCTTGCTGATGGAGAAGTGGCAGGAAACGAGAGCAGCCAGGTGGGAGGATATGTCCAAAGCGCCAGAGGAGCAGAGTGCGCTGGAGGGATGGGCAGGTGGCCAGAGGGATGCTTCTGACTGTTGCGACAGCTGGGCTGGCTGACAGAGTGCTTGGCCACGTTTATCATTGTCCACCTGAGCCAGGTTGGCTGTTGCGGGTCCTTAGTCCAAGCCACTGCCCTGTGGTCATTGACATTCACCTAACCTGCTCCTGAGACCCCTGGAGGGGAGAGGTCTGCTCCCTATGTGCTCCCGACAGCCCTTGCATTTTTACCCCCTCCGGCAGGAATACCTGGATGCTATTCACCACCTGTACGAGGAGTGGCTCATCAAAGGGAGCCTTTTCCCCGTGGCGGCCCCTGTTCTGGTAAGCCCCCCTGACAGGGCAGGAGACTTTTCTAGAAGGAGGAGCGACTCGGGGGATGTCGGCCACTCTGCAGCTGGAGAATTTGAAAGAAGGAAGCGGGGAGGGTGGAAGGGACTCTGTCTCACAGTCCCCGTTCTGGACTGAGCCTTAGTGAGCTGGACAGACCTGAGAGAAGGTGACCTGTCCCAGTGTCATTACGCCAGTGGTACAGTAGCATCTCAGTTATCCAGCATTGTCAGCAAAGGAGAGTTCCAGATGGCTGGAGCTCCTGGACCTGGGTTTTGGCCTTAACCGCTTGGGGTGGTGGTCTTTCTGACATGCCCGTCCCTTCTCCAGCGGGTGGCAGGCCCAAAGCCTCATTGCACCTTTTCTTGGTGACCCAGGGCATCTGAAGGAACGTCAGTTGCTGTTCTGGTCTGTCACACAATGATGCCCCCTTAGGAGGTGCTGAGGTGTGTAGGACTGTTTGCCCCAGACTACTAATGCCTTTGAATTCCCGTGTTTGCTTTTTACCCTCCTTTCTGCTGCTGGCACTCACCGTCTCTAACTGTGTTGATGCTTCTGCCCCATCAGTGTTTCCCCACTTCCTTGTCCCCTCGTTTTCTGATTTGCTGCTGCCAACTTTCTTTAGGCAGACCGTTGGGTCCCTCGGACTGTTAGGAACGTGTGTACAGTGTGGGATCTGAGGGAGGGCCTTGCACAAACTTGTGTGCATGGCCTTGGAGACATCTGTCTGAGCTGCTCAAGCACTGTACTCATGACTCTTCCAGGCAGTGGGGTTGCTGGAAAGTGAGATGTTACTGTACTGGATTTTTAAAGAAAATTTATTTTTTTCCCCTCATTATAGAAAAATGGTTGATATCAACCGATGATAAAAAAATCATTCATGAGCTTGCCGCAGGGACAACTGTCGTGGATTCTTAAGTGAAAATATAGTTGAGAATGTGGATTGACCTAGAAACGGGAGCTGTTTGGCCCTAACCTTCCCTTTTCTCTGCCTGTGACCTTGGGCTTCCCTGCCTCTCCCTGCCTCATCCTGCCTGCCCCTGTCTCTCTCTCTTCATCAGTGAAGGGAGGATGATGTTGAGGTCAGGGGCAGCCCTGTGACCTGTGTGTTTAATTTCCAGGTGATTGAGGCTGACCATGACATGGAGAAAATGTTAGAACTCTTTGAACAAAACCGGCACCGAATACTAATTCCAGAGGATCGGAAGCTTGGTCCATAGGACGGGGAAGATCATGCCAGAGAAATGCCCGCTGCTGCCAAGTTAGCTCTCACGAGCAGTTTGGAACAATCCACTCTCGGGAGGGCTTTCTATCTGGGCACATTTGTCTTCCTAATGGTCTTCTCTCCTTTGCCAGTGTCTTTATCCTGGGATTCTGGCCCTCGTGGGTAAATGACATGATGGGACCAATGGGTTTGTCGTGGCCCTTTGGTGTCGCAGCCTTGCATTCCCCCAGTGCTTCTCCTGGTGGTTTCCCACCTCTGGACCCCTCTAAATTAGGGAAGAGCCACCTGACTGACCCTGGGCTCATGGTCTCTAGCCCTTCAGACCATCCTCGAGGGCGAGGTAGTGGTCTTACATCCCAGGGGAGGAAGTTGAAGCTCAGACTGGCCAAGGGACTCCCCGGGGTCACACAGCCAGTGACAGTGGAGTCAGCACCATTCAGACTTCTGGTGACTCCCAAATGATCAATCTCTTGCCCCAGGCTGCCTCATCCCAAGAGCCCTGCCTTCCCTGCTGGAGAGCCCCACACGTGTGTGGGAGTTTGTGTGTGTGTGTGTGTGTGTGTGTGTGGGTAGGTAGCGGGGGCAGCGGTGCATGCAGCCAGCATCATCATTTTCTCCTTATTTGAGTAGCTCCTGAGGACAGTTAGCATTTCTAGACTTTCACAAAATTGTGTGGTATTTGGCTCAAGCCCAGCGTTCAGTGGTTCACTAGCGTGAGGCTGATGTGGAACTTACCACCTCATCATCGGGACTTCCCTGTCCTTAGGAGAATCGTGGTTTGGCTCCTGAATGGTGCTCGGTCTCCTTGGTGACGAAGGTCCTGCTTGAGCTGCTGCCGATTCCCTGGCAGGGCAATGGCCTATGGCGCCAGGCTGGTGTGCCCAGTGCTGTTCTGGGCAAGGGGCTGCCAGCCTGGCTTCTGAGGCTCCCTTCCTCCATAGTGGCCTTGTGTGAGGAGCTTCACCCTTGGAATTCCTGGGAGTTTGTGGCCCAGGGGAGAGACACAGTGGCCTTATGTCTTTTTGAAATGTTTTTCCATCCAAAGGGACACCATGGGCCCTAGGGCATGAACCATCTTTGTTAGTTCAGAGAATATCTTAGCTCCGCTCAGCTGTAACAATGCACTGAAGGCACGGCTGTCTCCTGAGTCAAGTAGGAAGCAAGAGAAAGGAAGAACATTCACTTCGGGGACAGTCTGGGCAGGAAAGTTGGGGCTGGCAAGCAAAGGCTCTTGGAGCACTGGAGCTCCTGAATTTTGGAGGTGGGTGGAGAGAGCTTCCAGAAGGCTGTTGCAGACACGGGGGAGGATTGATTATGAACTTGGGGAAACAGGCCTTGGCCTCTCCCGAGTGGTGGTTGGTGTACCTGAAGGTTGGAAGGCCTCATCCCAGCCTCTGTGTGAGTGTGGCACCTGTGCATGCAATTCTCTGACACTACATAGGTGACAGGTGCCCCGGGTGGCCTGGGCCCAGAGGCAGCGCTAGGAGGGCAGCACTCTGGCTTCCGGCCCTTTCTGGCTGGACTGACTCCTGGGCCGTGTGCACAGGGTGAGGGCGGCAGTCTGGTGGGGATGTGTCTCTCAGCCCAGATGTTGGTGATGGACCAGAAACCTGGGGGAGGCAGCGCCTCTGCTTCCAGGCATCTGGACATGCCAGGACCATCTTTGGGCCTTTGCAAACAAACAGTCCAATTTCCCCTCAATTTGAGCATCTGTTTTGGGGGAAATGTGATTTTAAAAAAAAATCTTGCTCTGTGATAGCCAATAAATCCTTCACTTAAAACCTGGTGATAATTTTGGAGTGCTTCCTATGCCAGTGATTTTGGGCCCCTGCAGCATCCTTGTACCAGCAAGGTAATGTTTTAATTTTTAAACACTGTGTTCCTAACAGGGGATGTCCGGGTCCATAAGAGCTCTCTGTCTTCCCACCCTGGCATCTTGGAGAGGATGCTGTATGTACCCACAGTGGCTGGGGCCTGTCACAAAAATCTCCTGGCCCAGAGATGTCACAGGAAATGGCTAGAGCCCAGCCCACCAAGGGTTGCTCTCCCCCATGTGGCAGGCAGGGCTGGTGGTGGCAGGGGTCACAGAGCAGTTGTGAACACTGCTGAGAACCAGGGCAGGGAAAGGGCAGATGGCACGTGGTAGGCACGGGGCCCAGTTCCTCAAGCAGAGGGAGGCACTCCCCACGGACTCCCAGGAATGGCTGTAAGGAGCGTGGCATGGCTTGGCAGGCCCTTGCTAAACGTGGGCCCTGGGAAGTGCTGTCACCCTGCTTGTTTTTCCCTTTCTTTTTCTCTTCCTGCCTCTTTTCTTCCTTTCCACCTGAGCCCCTCACCTAGATGAGAAGTGCCCCCCTGCCTGAGGAATGCATCAGTCAGAGACCCTTCCTGGGACTCCCGCAGGCTCCCACCATCTGACCTGCGGAAGGAAGGATTGAGGTATTTATTGCTCTGGGAGCAGGTAGGAGATGTTTCCAAAACCTGTCTACCCCTGGGTGCTATGGAATCTGCATCACCCTCGTTTTCCTAGAGCCTGGGGCCAGATGGGGGAGCGCACTTCAAATGCTCACACATCTGCGGAATGAGTAACCTCACCCGCTTGGCCTCTTCACCCTGAAGTTACAGTTATTAAAATAATTGACAAGCTCTTGGAGATGTCAGCCCTCCACTGTTGAGAATCTAATAACAATAATATTGTGCCCAATGTCTCTGGGCTTTGACAGTGGATTACTTATTTACCAGAGGCCCCAGGGTCACTGGCACACGCTTTCTTTTCCTAATAACCCCAACCTTGTGGCTCCCCTAAGGCTGGGGTGAGCTGTGTGTTCCTCTAGTTTCTGTAAGACGGTGAACTTGGCAAAAGCTGTCATTAAACAGAAGCTAGGAGAAAGCCAAGCTTGTGGAATCAGAATGGGTATTGGCATTTACTGCTCTCTTCTTGAATTTCTGCATTTTTTGGCTTTTTCTTCTCCAAGACTGGGGTCCGTGGAACACAGGTGTCCTGGGAGATAGGAATAGGTGCTCTGAGAAAAGAGGGTTCCGTAGTTAGTCCAGAAAATTTGGGAAACACCACCTGGGTACCCTCTCTGAGATGCACAAGGTACATTAGCCTAGATAAAGTCAAGAAGTCCTGCCATAAAAACACCTTCTAAACCTTGTTTTAGCCAGGGACTCTCAAACTCACTTGACAGTGGGGCCTCCCATTTGGGGAGGATACATCAACAATCTGCAGATGTGCTAATGTTCCTTGGAACACACGTTGGGAAGCTCTGTTTTAGGGGCCTGCAGCTGCTGATGACTGCTGGTTCTGTGTCCTTCGGGATGCTCTAGCTCATGGTCCTCTAACTTCAGAGCATCTGAGTCCTCTGGTGGGCGTGTTAAAACACAGACTGCAGGGCCTACCCCCAGAGTTTCTAATTCAGTAGATCTGGGATGGGTCTGAGAATTTGTTTTCTAATGACTTTCTAGGTGATGACGAGTCTGCTGGTCCAGGAACCACCGTTTGGGGACCACTTCTCTTAGCTTGATGTTTTCTAGAAGTGGACATCCAGGAGTTCCAAGAAAACTTGGCATGTTTTTGAGTGTTGTCACTGTTGTCACCCCTCGTGAGTGTTGGCTGTCTTACCTGTTGAATGGGAGCATTGCTCACTTCCTAGGGCGGTGAGGATAACCAGCCTGGCGTGTGGAAGGGGCCCAGAGCAGGACCAGTTGCTAAGTTTTAAATAAATATTACCTTTGGGGATCCAGATGTTGAAACATACTATAAAACTTCTATAATTGAAACAGTATGATACTGGTGCATGAATAGACAAGTAGACCAGTGGAATAGAATAGAGAGCCCGGAAATAGATCCAAGTATATGATAAAGGTGACATCTCAATGATTATTGGGGATAAAGGTGGAGTTTTAAATAAATGGTGCTGAGATGACTGAGTAGCCATTTGGAAAAAGATAAAAACAGATCCATATCTCACATCATACCCAAAAATAAATTCCAAGTGGTTAGGGATCTAAATGTAAAGAATGAAACCATGCAAGTACTAGAAGAATGAATTCTTCTTTTTTAAAACCTTGATGTAGGGAAAACTTTGTAACTCTAATTCAAAATCTAGGAACGATAAAAGATTGATAAATCTGACTAAAAAATGTGTATGACAAAACTCATTTGGAAACAAAGTCAAAAGGCAGTGGACAAAGTGGGAGAAAATATTCACAGTGTATATCACAAAGGGCTAATATTTGTGAAGAATTCTTAAAAATGGACAAAGAACCAAAACTCCAATAGAAGAATGAGAAAAATATCCAAACAAAATTTACAAAAAAGATAATAAAAATGGCCCTTAAAGATATGAAAAATACTCAAATTCACTCAATTAGAGAAATGCAGATGCTATGATCTAAATGTTTGTGTCTCCCCCAAATTCATATGTTGAAAACCTAATGTCCAAGGTGATGGCATGAGGAGGTGGGACCTTTGCAGGGGGGTGATTAGGTCATGAGGGTGGACCCCTCATGAATGGGATTAGTGCTCTGATAAAAGAGACCTCACAGAGCTCCCAAGCCCCTTCTACCATGTGAGGACACAGGGGGCAGTTGGCAGTCTGCAATCTGGAAGAGGGCCTTCACCAGAACCCAGCCATGCTGGCACCAGGATCTTGGACTTCCAGCCTCCAGAACCATGAGATATAAATTTCTTTTGTTTGTAAGCCACCCAGTCTGTGGTATTTTGTTAACAGCAGTCCAAACAGACTAAGACAGCAAATAAAAGAACACTGAGATACTTACCAGACTGGCAAACACACAAACATATATATCGAAACATCCTGTTGTTGAGGCTGTGGGGAAACAGTCACTCTTACACGTTACTGGTGGGCATGCAAATTCGTTTACCCCTTCTGGAGGGAAATAGGACACCACCTGACACACTACATACATACTTACATCGCAATCCAGCAACCCCACTTCTAGGACATGAAGGTGTATATATGTACAAGGTTATGTATGGCAGCATTCTTTGTAATTGCAAAATAATTGAAAACAACCTAAATACCCATATACAAGAGAGTGGTTAAATAAACTGTGGTACATCCACACAATGGAATAGTATACAGCTGTGAAGAAGAACGAGGCGGCTCTCTCTGTGAATGGATGTGATATGATTTCCAGGACACACTGTTAAGGGAAGAAAGCAGTGTCCAAATGAGTATCTATAGTATGCTATAGGAAGTACAGGAAGGGCAACCCAGAAACTAAATAGATTGGTGGGAAAAGGCTGGAGAGAAGGGAAAAATGGGATCAGGGTTGCTGGGATGAGAGGGGAATACACTCCTGTGAATATATCATTTTGTATAACTCTAACCATAGTAATGTCTCACCCCCCAAATAAATAAATAGTTAAGGTGGAGTAGGATGTAGGGGGAACGGAAGATGGAATACAAACAGATGAATCACAAGTAACAACCACACTGAAGGTGCTGGGAAGAAAAGAACTCACTGAAGTAACCTTGGAAAAGAGTGTCTTGATTGGATACGAGAAGAGTAAAGGTAAAAATTATTTTACATAAATGCTGAAAGATAGTTATTAGAAATGTTTCTTGCAGGGATATGTTTAGCAATTCTGAAACTATACCAGAATCGACCAATATATTAGAATTGAACAAATAAGTAAATAGTCTGTAGATTATGAGAGCTGGGTTTCTCACTATTAGAGAATTTGAGTTTGGTGTTCTCTTATGGCTAGAGTGAGGTTAGACATTTTTGGCAAGATGCCACCATAAAAAAAAAAAAGATGTTGTGTCTTCCCTCAGTACATCTTATCAAAGGATGTATGATGTCCATGCATCTTATTACTGGTGATATTTACCTGCTCATCCCTGGAATAAACTACTAGGATCTCTGGTTCCTTGTATTGGAGAGTGAGTGATGTTTAGAGACCAAGATCTAAGTGCCAGGTGTAGTCATTGTTACTGGGTGTCTGCTTCTAAGCCCACTCTTGGGACAGAGTTAGGAAACATGTATGTGTACTAACCCACTCATACACACACATAGCTATATTTCTGTATCTAACTATAATTTAAAAACCATGAGTTCATAGTGATACCTCTGATTCTAATCCAACACCACAGAGTGAAAGTCATGATGGAACATAGGTTTTAACAGGATCCTCTGGCAGCTGGATGGAGCTGACTGCAGGAGGATGAGGGCAGAGGCTGGGAGACCAGGAAGGGGGCTGGCGTCCTCCCAGGATCTGAGTGACAGGCCTTGGTAGCTCAGTCGAGGGGCTCAGGCCTCTGTGGAAGGAGGAGGGACGTGGTCAGATTTGGTCCTTGTTGTGACAGCTATACTTGGATGAATGATGTGAGAGAAAGAGAAATCAAAAATGATTCCTACCTTGGGCACAGCTTTCCAGTAGATGGGGAGCACTGCGGGGCAGGAACATGGGGAGAACAAAAGTTCTGTTGTGGTTTGGGACTGAGCTTGCTTATTATGTTAATGATCAGAAAATAACGAATAAAAAATGGTCAGGGGCTGCAGGTCAGACCCAGGACTAGGTGCCCTGGTTGCCATGATTCCCAGGTCCGTACCCCCTCCCACCTCATCCCTTCTCCCGAGGCTCCTGACCCTCTCTGTCTCCAGCCCAGCCTGTTCCTGACGTTCTCCTTCCCCAGAATGGAGGCTTATGGCTAGGGTCTGCTCCGACCATCCCCACCCCCCGGCCCCGCTTCACTGGCTCCAGACACCAACAGCTTACCGGCCTGAGTGCCGACTGCTGTGTGCTGTGCTGAGTAATCGGCATGGGTGGGTGGGAGGAAGGATGGATGGACGGATGGATGACTGGCCAGTGCCTCTCTCTTCCCAGTGCAGAGTGCTTCCCGACTTGTCTTGAAAAGCCTGTGTAGGGCCTGGCCAATAGTCTGATTGGGAGGGAGGCGGGGCCCATGCCCCTTAAATCCTTCTCACCTGTGGTCCCCCTTGATGTAGGGACTGAAAATGGTGGGGTCATATGCTCAGCTCTGGGGACAGCAAAGCAGGTGCCAACGTTTATTAAGCACCTGCTGTATGCCCAGAAGGGGCCTTTACCACCACCCTCAGAGGCAGGGGCCATCCTCCCCACTTCACAGATGCAAAGCCGAGGGACAGGCCCTGGGCAGGTGCCACCTGCCACCCCATAGAGAGGGTCTTGGCTTTCTCTTGGGGCCCTTATGAGGATTGCCCGTGTGTGTGTGTGTGTGTGTGTGTGTGTGTGTGTGTGTGTACGTTCCTGGACACACCCACTTGTGTGCAGGTGTGCATGCATGTGTGCATATGTGGGGGCAGGAGAGGCTGGTGGGGGGGGCGCCCCCACTCCGGTCAGCCCAGATGATGGAGCCCCCAACCCTGGATGCAGAGCAGGCCTCTGAGCTGACCCTGGGCTCCCAACTGTGGCCTTGCTCTCTGTCAACCTGAAGTTGGCTGAGAGAAGAGGGAGGCTGACAGAGGACCCTAAACAGATTAAGGGTGTATTACACGTCTGGTTGTCTACACATCTCTCTTTTAATCTGCTCTGTGACAGGTGCCTTAAGGATGCTGAGGGAAACTGCTATTCAGAGATGCAGGGTGACTGCACACACACTGAGCTGGTGTGTGAAGGGGACAGGAAGCCCCCCTGAGGTCAGCACTATGCACACCTCACCTCATTAACTCTTCTTAGCCTCCTGTGAGGTAGATCTGACACCACACCCACTTTGAGACGAGGAAACATGGCTCAGAGAGGTGCAGTGAGTGGCCCAAAGTCGCACAGTCTATAGGTGGCAGTGCTGGGACCTGAGACCAGCTGGGATTAGCAGGTTTGTCCCTGTGGCTGACAAGCTGTGGGTTTGGCTGCTGTCCCCACTGTGGTCCCAGATCCACCATCTCTCCAAGTGTCACCTTCCTGGCAGAAGAGCAATCGGCTTAGTCAGGTGTCTGCCCCTGTGCCATCCAGGGGTGACAATCTCAGCTGTTGCTCGTGTAGTATCCTCGTGTGGCACCTGGCACCTCCATCCCCTCCGGGGGGACGTAGTGAGCACCGGGGGGCTCTTGTACATGAGAGGGGGCCTGAGGAGACCTCCAGAACTGAGTGATTGTACCGTCTGGGCTGTCACCCTCACCGGTTGGCTCTGGCCTCATGAGAGGCTCTGATTGTCCGTTCTCCTCAACCCCTGGGCCAGGGGAGCCCCCGGGGTGGCCTGCTGGAGTTGGGGGTCTGAGGAGATGGGTGAGGTACTCACAGAGCTCATCCATCTCAGGAAGCATTTGGAGGTGCAGCTTCTGTACCAGGGGCCGCCACCTCCAGCTGTGCTTCTGGTTTTGGGTCCAAGGAATTCTCTGACAACTGGGGGCCTGGCACCAGGCAGAGCTGGCCGGGAATGGTGACCCCTTTTCTCTCAGGAGCTGCGCTGGGGACCAGGGGCTGCTCGCTGCTGTTACCTGCGGGGGCAGTTGCCTCCCCTGGAGGTGGGCTGGGCCCCAGGCCTGGGCTCTGGAGTTGCTTTCCCTTCAGGCTGCTCAGGGGATGGTCCCTGGGGAACAAGGGTGTCTGGTGCAGCACAAGGTCGCTGTAGCAGGTCAGAAACTCCTCACTGTCCGAGCGTGTGCTGGCGCGGCGCTGGGGCCCCAAGGAGACCGGGGGGCCAGTGAGGGGGCTGCCGGGGGCGATTGAGATCTCAGGCAGGCTAAAGACCACAGGCAGAGAGCGCTGACCATCAGGGCTTTCAGCCAGGGCCCTCTCAGTCCTCGCCCCTGCTGGGGGGCCTCGGCTTGACTGGGCCTCCCGCAGGCCCTTGTGGGTCTTCAGCAGCCCTCTCTCTGAGCTCGGCCTGCAGTGGGGCCCGTCTGCTTTCTCTCTGCCCGGCCCGAGGAGCTGCCTGCCTGAGGTTCCGAGAACGGCCTCACACATGACTCTCGTCAGGAAGATCTCAAACACCATCTGCTTGGTGTTCTCCTCGCTGCTGGCCTGGACCAGTGAAAACTCGGCCTCGGAGGTGGCCATGTAGCCCAGCCTGCCCAGAATGGTCTGCAGTGTGTGTTCAGAAAGCACAGGCCGCACCCAGTAGACAAAGTTCCCTGTGTATGTCTGGAACAAACAGAGTTGTTTGTTAGAGGGGGACGCGTCTCAGCAGAGTGGCAGAGAGGGGCCAGGCAGGACCAAGGGCTGATGTCCAGGGCACAGAGGCTCCTGAGAAGCAGGTGGGCCAGGGCATGGGGCCAAATGGAAACCTGGCCCACAGTCATGTCACCCCTGTCCCATTTTATAGAAGGGCACACTGAGGCCAGAGGCAGGACTTTTGTCTCAAGTCACACAGCAGGAGAATGACTGAGCCAGCTGGTATCCTGGCTTCCAGCCCAATAATCCTGGCCTGGAGCTGGAAGAGATTAAACCTTTCCAGTGGCTTTCCACAGCCAAAATCTTTCCCTTGTTTCTTGTGAGCTCCTTGGTGCTGTCTCTTTAGAGAAGCGGTACAGCCTAGTGGTTAGGAGCTGCACTGCCTGAGTTCGAGTCCTGTCTGGGTTGCTTATTATCTGGTGACCACAGGTAAGTTGCATTAATCTCTTATAGCCCTCAGTTTCTACATCTGTAAAATGGGACCAAAGTCAGTGGGCATGACAGACGACACACTGTTCCCCCTCTCAGAGGCACAGCCCTGGTCCCTCCCCGAGGCCCAGAGGCACAGCCCTGGTCCCTCCCTGAGACCCAGAGGCACAGCCCTTGTCCCTCCCCGAGACCCCCTCTCTCTGGGACATGGCAGTGCCTACCTTCAGGGACCTGATTTCCTTCCTCCAGGGAAACAGGAGTAGGTTGACGGAGATCAGCTCTAGGAACTCCAGTGCCCGCACCAGTTTGCGGCAGATGTGCTGGGCAGAGCTGGGAGCCCCCTGGGAGTGAGTGGTCCCCAGATCAGGGGCCACATCCTCAGGCAGATAGAGCTGAGGAGGGACCCCTGTGACCAGCAGCCGCTGGGCCCTGCAGGTGAGAGCTGCTTGCTTGCAGACCCCAAGCCGGCCCTCCCCTGCCCTGTCCAGGTAGTAGCTGATGAGGTCATCCAGGAGGGTCTCAAGAGCATCCTCGTCTGGGCCTGGGGGTCGGGGCCGGCTCATGGCGGCTCCGAGAGACTGGATGTGGACAAGAGTCCGGTGGGCCTCCCAGGCCAGGCCCAGGCTGGCCTGCCTCTGTCCCGCCCCACAGCTCAATCAGGAAGCCAAGGAGGAAGTTGTGTTAGCAAAAGAGAAAGCTGTGCACGGTGTGGCCTGCCACAGCTTGTCACTCTGGGGCTGTGTTCATCTCCTCCCAGTGGAGCAGAGCCGAGGTCAGTCTGGGTTCTCGCCTTGACCCAAGAGCAAGTGGGAAAGCACAGCAGCGCCTGCGTCCTTCCACACCCCCTCTGCAGCGGTCGCAGCCCGTGCTGCCCGGCACCCTCAGCCCACCCTGATGTCACCTGCGAGGGCTCCTGATGCCTCCTGCTTGAGAGCCTTCTTTGGCTGGTGTGCGGGCTGCAAGTGCCAGGGAGTTAACACCCAGGGGCAACCCTCAGCTAACCAAGGAGGGTCAGTGGGTAGAAACCCCAGCTTCCTGTCCTTGGTGGGACAGCTCTGAGGTGTGTCCTACTCTGTCTTTTAGAGGGTCCCCAGTGGATCGCCCCGGTTGCCCACAGCAATAACCTGCTCATTGATGCATCTGTGTTGACTCTTCTCCCTCCCCGTCTTAATTCCTGACTCCTTCACTGTGCTTCCTGGGATCACCTCCCACATAAACTATTTATACCCAGATCTTGAGTCAGGGACAGCTTTTGGAGGAATTGAGATGGGTACAATCACCTATGCACTCTCCCATCAAGCCTTCCCTCCCTCCACTGCCCCCTCCCTCTCTCCCTCTCTCCCATTCTCCCTTCCTTCCATTCACCCACTACTTAATTCAGTGATGATTCACTCATTCATTCAGCCACTCAGTGACTCACTCGTTCCATGTGGGTCAGCATTTCTCAAAGTGTGCTCCACCGAGGAGCACTGGTTTGGGGCTTTAATCAGTCTTACGTGAGTGAAGATTTCCTGTGGCCAAATGCATTGGGAACCACTGGATTAAGTAAGGTCTCTAGGCTTCTTGGCTTTAGGACCTCTCATGTGGGAGCTCACTGGGGGTGTGAGTTTCTAGGAGGGGGCAACCTGCGCTCTGTTTCCCAACTTCTTGGACCTGGGTCCTTTCAATGTTCTCATATGGTGCTTGCGGCAGTGTTGTCCTTGAGCAGGCGGCCTGGCCCGTTCCACAGCAGCCCGGGGACTTCAGAGGCAAATGAGACAAAGTGGCTCACAGTCTGGAGAGCCCAGTTGGTGTGTGTGTGTGTGTGTGTGTGTGTGTGTGTGTGTGTGTGTGTGTGTGTGT